GCATGTCTGTTTACCCATCTTTACAGACTCAGATTAGGAAAGATGCTTTTTTCCTTCTGTACAGCTAATAATTAAGCCAGTTTGAGACCCCCCCCCCCCCCCCGACATTGGCTTCATCAGCTGCTGAGCCGGTATACACGGGGGCTCTTTTTAGCCCAAAAATGTGTGAGGGATATTAGTGTTACCTGCCAGCCAGTAGACAGCGCTGGTCTGCTACACACATGCCTGACTGGAGGCCTGGATCAGCCTGTAAGCTGAGCTGGTGTGTGGTTTCGGTCACTGGGGAAGGGATTATAATGACACTTGCCTTCAAGAGAGGAACTTTCTGGGTGATCTGAATGAGCTCTTGGAGGTCGAGTTGCCACCGGAAACCTGGGAGAATAAGATAAGATATTAGTACTGTCATAAGCGTGAACTTTCACTGGCTGGCCGACATTACTTGAAAGCCATAGATGTGTATGAACATCATGCCTTTTTAAAGGTCTGTTGGTCCATTTGTTCTTTGTTAGGGCATTAAATCTAAGCAGTGTTAAGTATCAGAACAGAACCCATTGTGTCCCAGGGCTTAAGTTACAGGTCCCAGTCCCTGAGGGATAGTACGTGCTCCTTGATCCAACTGCTATTTCAAGGGAAATGCCACTCAGTAAACATTCACTTTGGTTTGAGGGCACTAGGGCTGGGCAATTTATTTTTATTTTTTTTTAAAGTGATATTTTAAGTCTAAAATATCCCAATAAATGATAATATCGAGGGATCCAGCGCCCACCCCTTCCCACACATAGGCACACATGCATGCGACACCAAGCCGGCCACTTAATTTTTATTTAGCAGATATAAAAATGGGAAAGCATGAAAATATATACTGATACTCCACTAAACTGCAGTCTTTAAAACTGGACGATAGTGATTGGGGGTCGCAGGCAGCTATAGAGTGAGCTGAAGTCTTCGTCATCTTGCCTGTAGCCTAAGGCTACTTCTCCGACAAAGGCGATAATCGCCGGTTAGTCACTAAGATCAACACAGGCTCACTTGTCTGATGTTGATTGGCGGTAATATCGACATAATGCTCAGCCCTGGATGGCGCATAGTTTTCTACTTATGCAAATGAAATTGTTCCATAGATTGGGCTGTTCTTTCAATAATTTCACCGGGAGACTGTTCTGTGTCAATTTTAGTTCAGTTGGCTCTTGAGGAAAATTTATGTCTTTGGCAAATTTCTGCTGATTCACCTGCCAGTCGATGTGTGGGTAGTAATCTGGTTTTCTGTGGTGTTTCATGTCATGAATGGTTAAAGAGAAGAACTTCAGGAAGTTGTATGATACTGGAAAACTGATCCACATGATACAGAATTATGATTTTTCTTTTTAATTGGTTCTAGCTCAAAATTCATTCTTAGCATCTGTTTTTGTAAGCTAATGCTTATGATGTACTACCTTTTCACTCCTGAACTGGAGTCACACTTCTGTTCTCTGAGTGAGTTGGTAATTAAGGGGGCTGTTTGTGACCTCAGCAGTGTGATCGATCATCTTCTTGTTGATTACACTCATTTGGAAAATTGAATGTCTTTAGAAAGAAGTGGTCGACCCTGTCCTGGATTGTTCAAGGTCATTGTGGCGATATATGACTATTCTGTTTGCTTGTGTGAGAGGCAGGCAGCCATCTGGGTTTCTGTTGTATGGAAATTGTAAGTAGAAGTGACCCCCTATCTAAAATCATCATTGAGCAGTATTTATTACTTGTAGTATTACCTACTCATTGTAGGTTAGTCAGCTAAAGTAGTATTAAAGTAGTATAGTGTTGTATAAGCTGTATTTAGTTCCTAGTTCCATCTATATATTTTGTTTTGGCACTTCCAGGAAGCCGTAGTCTCTGAAGAATAATGCATAAACACTGTCAGGTATGAGGATCATCCAGGTTGACAAAGTGCAAAATTAAGTATTTTAATTAAGGATTTAAAATGCATAACAAGAAATCATCGTCCTAAGAGCCTGACATCACAGCCTGTGGAGGATGTTTACCATGTGGAGACTTGTTGGCCCTATATACATTTTACATTTAAATGAAGTTCAGATGAATTTTAAATTTAAATGAGTTTCACGGGCACGTCTTATCTCTGCTTTAAGCTGTGGGGCAGCGGCGCTTCATGATCGGGAGGCGTTGCGGTTTGTAAATAGTGCTGTGTGCCTGCAATCAGCAGAAGCACTTGTAACACAGAATAAAACCAGCGCCACTGAGTTCATTATTGTTTAGGTAAGCACCACTGAGGGACGGGAGCGGCTGTGGCGGGGTACTCTGCACCAGCGTTCCGTTCAAGTCCACCTTAATCAAACCCGTGTCAAGACTGTATCTTTAATAAGTTGCATCTGAGTAAAGACAGCTTCTAACTGCGGGTGGGGGGTCGGAGTCTGAGTTCAATTCAAGGCTATGAATTGCAATTCAAAAACCATAAATTAAAGTGAACAAACACCTAAAATTGTTACCTTTACTTCAAATAATTTATAAATTTCTAACAAAAATTTAAATATCCCAGGCTAGTTACCTTAAACACTCCTCCTGCTGTACCCCTCATTACATAATACATGGAAATGTTCAATGAATTCAAGCTTTCTTGCCATCTTTTTTCTCCCTGCTTAATGCCAGATGTTTGCCGTTAATTTATCATTTGTTGTTAATTTAATCTTAGCCAGCTAGCCAGCCAGTTACATCATTTTTACAACTACCTAGCTAGTAAGTACCATCAGCAAGGATGACATCATTGATTTTAATATATAGCCCATAACTACATTTAAGCATGCAGACAACAGGGTGTAGCTGCCTAATATTTAACGTGCTTAGTCAGAAGGTGGTGTATGTCTCGGTAGGTAATGAGTTCTATTTCTGAAAAATTGCTGGTTTGATTCCCACTCCCAGTAGATCAATTACTCCACCATTAGGCCCTTGACTTTTAACACACTTAAAAATTCAAATCACGGTCGTGAAGTTTGTGCGTATGTAACTCCGTCGCATTTAAAGGCACTACTTTCTTGACTTCCAATTGCGTTAAAAGCCCATTCAATAACTGACCGAGACTTAGGTGGTATTAAGGTACTATGATATACCACGATATTTTGGGTATATTTATTTTTGTGAATTTCCTGGTGAAATTTTTCATAGGGATCCATCCTTTCCAGTTTGCAAATTTTATCATCAAGATTCCTAGATACTGGAATAGCATTATATTTGATAATATCAGTATGAAACAGATTTAGTTATAAATTAATTAAAACACATTTTGGCTGGAAACTTCCCCAGTCATTGCCTTGCAACAAACTGAGTTTGCTAGGATTAGCCTACTTTTTGTGTTTCCTTCCCAAACGTCGAGAGAGATTGGAAGTGGTACCAGCTGCCTCAGTTACCGACGCTCTGCAGTATTCTGCAGGGTGCTTCTTTTTACCTGATATGTTGTATAGGAACTTGTATGTGAGCCAGATAATTGCTAACTAGGTAGACATAATGAGAGACATGAGTGGGGCCCCAAAAACCTGTGTACAGGCTGTGGATTTTTCAGGTTACTAGTGCTTGAGTCGTAGTTAAGGCCGAGTAAAAATTAATCCGAGTGTATGACAAGACCATTCATATATGGACTTCATAACAACCCGGAGTACCACGACTGTTGTTACTCTTACTTATACACCTTACTCGCAAGGTGCTTTCCCGCGGAAGTTCAGATACCTGACTCTGAGTTTCTGGGCCGTCTTGAATGGCAACCACCACCTCAATCAAACAATGTAGGATGAACAAGCTGTTTTGTTAGTTGTTTTCTGTTTGCGGGGAGGAATCGATTGCATGGTCTGACAGATCACATTCCAAATTGGTTCAAAACCATGGAGCTCCTCTCTGGTCCCCTTTCAGCACCTCACCCTTTAGAAAAGCCAACATCAGCATTAATGGCGTTGCGTGGTGGGAGCCATGAAGGTGGAGGATCGCGTCTTGGACGGCAGTAATTCATTGAAGGGTGTTATGGCTTCGTTTTCCTTGATCTCCGCACCCTGTTTATAACGTGTCTTTCTTGGAGAAGAACTTTCACTGTGGCTTAAAAGGGTCCCTTGAGTTGGTAGATTTGACATACTGGCCTTGTGACAGGCTGACTGCGGGTTGGACGGCTGTCTCCATCCTGTTTTGAACGTTGTGAATGGCACTGTGGATAGTCCGTGTCAGAGAATGCACTGCAAAATGACCCTGGCTTTTTCCAGTGATTATTAAGAGCGTGACTTCTGTTCCTTGGTGTTCCTGTTTGTTAGCCTCATAATCTGCTGTAAGATGGTATGGGCTTCCTGTTTAAAAAAAACAAACAAAAAAAACATCTATTACATTCCCGCTGTCACATTCAGAAATCGACAGTCTCTCTTGAACAACGTCTGTGCTTTGTTTTGAGGTGAGCCTGAATTCTTACTGTTTGTAATGGAAAATGACTTTGGCATTGCTGAAGCGTACTGACAAAGGTCTCGAGCTGCGGTTATTTTTAACACTACCCTTTGCTGGCTTTCATCCGAGCAACCTTTAAAAGCAAGAAGTTGGCTGAGATTCGAGCTGTATCGCCGAATCCCCTTCTCTAAGAATATACTGTAAGTTATAGACCTTGTTTGAAGCGGGCATTCCCATCTGCTTTTAGCTGCAACACACAAAACCTATTAAAGTTTGAGTTGGGATATAAGAGGTTTTGCATTTTTTTAAATGAGGAAATAAAATTGTGAATAAAGTTGCCCCTTCGTGCAGAGTGGATATCGTGGAGGGATTGTCTGAAACTGGGTGGAAACCTAACAATGTGGTTTTCTACATTCCAGTGTACCATATAGTTTTTAATTTTTTTAGTGAGACGTTCAGATTTTTTCTTCCACATTCACACACTTTATTGGTTCAAGGGATGTGAGATTTTATGTAATTTGCATTTTAATCAAACCCCTATTCTATTTTCATTTCGTTTCATGAGAGTAAACTCATCACAACTTCCCTTTCCACAGATGAAGGCTACTACCAGAGCGGAAAGTTCCGGTTCGAAATAGATGTCCCTGAAGCCTACAATATGGTGGTAAGTGGCCCTTTTTGTGTTGCGGCAAACTGCAAGGGAGGGTTTTGTTGCACTATGTCGAATTGCCAGGTGTCCGATATTGTGATGTTGGACCCTGTAGTTAGAGACAGACTGGATTAGTGTTTTAGAGGAGCTAGGCTGTTTGCTGGAACCTAATGGTCTGGAAGCATGAGGAAGCCTTAGGTGGTTGAGATCCCAAGACGGTATGTCTGCCTGGCACCTGCGGGCCGCAGGGTTTTCCCAGCGTTCAGCATAGTCAGCAGTGGACCTCCTTCTGCATTAAGCCTGAGATTTTGTTTATGCCCATGTTGGGTAGAAGGTATGAATGGATGCTCATTGGGTGGTAATAGAAACACACACAAGGGGCATTTTAGACTAGCTTTTTCCAATCCAGTACTTGGGGACTACAAGAGAGTCCATGTTTCTTGCTCTCGGTACGGAGCTGGGAGGGCGAACGAACGTGGATTCTGTGGCAGGGAGGTGCGATGGCAAACACATGGATTCCTCGAGGACCGGGTTGGTAACCGCCATAGCCCAGTTGGTAACCGCCATAGCCCAGTTGGTAACCGCCATAGCCCAGTTGGTAACCGCCATAGCCCATAGTGCTGTGTGTTTGTTGGACACTGATATGGGACCTCGTTAACTACTTTGGTAAACATCCAACAATATTCACAGACTCCCTCACAGATGATTTATATGAATAGAACGACAGACGACAGCCTGGATTTATCTACAGCTAAGTAGACAAATTCATATCGTGACAAGGATACCTGTAATTAACAGGAGCAGCTATGCAGTGTTTATGTACTTCAGCACAGTTACCCTGCTGCTTCTTAACGACTCTGTGGTGCATGTTTTTCACGTTGCCAAGCCAGCCCACAGCGGGGAACAGGTGAAATCGGAGTGCGAGAGGCTGTTTCTCAACCCTAATGTGGAGAAACAGTATTTCATTGCTGCATTTACAGCAATTGAACAGCATGCCTTTTACAAGGGATATTTATGAGTCAGGACTGTGTAGTTTCCTCTGATCTATCTAATCAGGAACTGAACAGCTGGCGGTCTTGGGCTGAGTTATGGTATTCTCCGCTTTATGCTTTTTTTTGTCCGTTGCATATCCCTTAGCCTTTCGTTTTCATCTGTGCTGATTGAAGGCATCGATTCGTTTGTCACCCGCTGGAGTTGCTTTTAGATCCCGCAGATTCGGTTTGCAGCTGTGTTATTGCAAATCTGATGTCATTTATTAACAAGAAATTCAAATCATCAACCTATGTTAAAAATGAACATTTAATAGAAAGAAGGCATTGACAAGCCATGAAATGTGCTTCCCTATGTCTATGAATATCATTTTATGAATATCAATCAGCTGCATATGCTACACTTTTCAGTCTTCTAGGGTAAGCTTGGTTTAAATTGTAACTGTTGCTAAGTGGTTATACTGCACTACGACTAGTGGCTCTTGTAGGTTGGTGCTGAGGTTTCGTGTATCTCTGTCAGACTGAGAATCCTCAGGAACTCATGGCTTTGTGAAATGTTTAATTTCATATTCCAGGGAGACATTGTTCTGTGAGTTTCTGGTCACCCATCCCCAAGCGGATGGCATTGGAGAGACCTTGGCCTCTTATGTTTGACACAGCTCAGGACCCTGGGGCGTGCAGGTGCAGTACCTCCCTGATCCAGCGTCTGAGCCAGACCTGCTGCAGGATACTGTCATAGTCCGAGAGATAATCACTGTTGCAGGTGTCAGTCTAAGCCTTTTTGTTCCCCCTGCCCAGGGACATTCACTTGTGCCTGCAGAGTGTGGGGTCTTTCCAAAGTTTCTTATTCAGTTAGTTTTAGTTCCAAATGAGGTCTTTCTGTGCTAGTACATGAAGCACATGGTCATTATGATGTTGGGCTGCTAACCAGGGGGCTGCGTGTGTCAGTCAGGAAGCTGAGACCTTATTTGTGAATTTGTGATGGTCAGAAGGTCAAAGAACCGGAGGTGACAGCTGACTAAGTATATAAAATACCAATCAGTCTCTCTGGTCCGTTCCATTACTTGGTCTGCATAACAGTTAATAGTTGGGCATGAGTGCAGGTAATCTCCAGGTTCTTCTGGACAGCTCGTACGAACAGACTGCCATAAATCCTGTTATATTAAATTCGGGTTAAATACAGTTATTCTTAATAACGAACGCACACGCTACTTTACGACACCTGTGAAAACATTGTGCGGCTTCATCGGCTCGAGGTACCATACTGTTTATAGTTACTTTTATTATTACTGTATTATTACTATTATTATGTACTGTATTATTACTTTACCACCTCGCCTACAAATTAAAGACAGACTTTGGGAATGGATCTTGTTTGTAACCTGGGTCCTGCCTGTCATGTGAAAAAGAGAGTTTAGGCCCTGTGTTGCCACTGAGGGAGAGTTAGTGTGGGAGGTGCCTGTCTCTGGGTCGGCTCTGGTCTGACTCGTACCCCCCCCGGCCAGATGGTGCTCCGTTAATGACATTGTAGACTATGGTTGAATGTTTCACATTCTTTCATTAACAGTTTAAAATATCGCTTCTAGCCAGCTGGCTGCCTTAAACACTGTTACTCTCCAAAATAACATCTCCCAGAGGAAAGACGCGAGGTGGTTGAAGGTCATCTGAAAGCAGGAGAGCCCTGTATAGTTTGGTTCTCATGAAGTGTGTTGTTGGGTGCTCTCTTTAGTGCTTGCACTCGCAGAGAGTGATTCTGAATGAAGGGGGAGGGATGAAATCAGGTACCAACCTGTCCTACTTTATCGATATTGTCTTGGTTGGAAAATATGTTAGTGTGGAGGACTTTCAGCGTGATTTCCATTTCCTGCTTTCCGCAGCCACACTATCTATGTGCAAGAAACACTTACTACAAGCCAAAGTAAGAGGTCTGCTGGCCTGGTGGTGGTTTGCTTTTCTGATGGACTCTGGACGATTTCATTGTTTTGGTGCTCATGGTCTGGGGATCCACCACACCATCACGAGGTCATTTCCCGCCATTCCGGGTTCTTCTCCTGATTGACGACGTCTCTTTTGTTTTGTTTTGCAGCCCCCCAAAGTTAAATGCCTCACCAGGATATGGCACCCCAACATCACAGAGACCGGCGAAATCTGCCTGAGGTAAATGTCGGGGGGGTGTCTGAGGGTTCGATTTGGTGTCTGCAGTTCTGTTGCCTTGGTTGTGCCAACTCTGTGTGACGATCTGCTGGTAGGCTTGGTGTAGGTGCAGGAGTCTACTTCTGAATCTTGGGATGGTACTACAACTACTTATTTTTAGTGCCTGATTTTACCTTATGTCTGATATGATTAGAGCTGCTAGTATCATACAGTTAATCGTCTTTCGTGGCGCTTTTCACACAAGCTTGTAAAGGGTTTACAGCAGCCTTTCCTGAGGGTACTGAAAAAAAGTGTAAAAGAGGGTATGTAGGTGCAGATGGTTTGGTTAGAGCAGCCGGAGGGGGTCGAGGGGGGGGGTTGAGTCCTCTCTCGAGTCCCCCGCTACAGATACTACTGACATCCATTTCTCTAGCTGTCCGTTATCAATGTGAAGATGAATAAAAGCAGATTGGACTGAATTGCCTTGAACCCACAGTTTTTAAAGTGATTAAGAGACCTTGATTCATGCCGTACGGAGAGTTGTGCATAATTATATATTGCAAAAAAATATATCAATCTGTCAGTTATGAAAAGGTCATCACTTCTGGAAGTTTTTGTCTTTTATAGGACGCTTTTATAGGAAGTTAGCCAGCTGATTTTTATGTGATCTGTATTTTAATGGTGAGTTTAATTGGTGCATTATGGATATATTGTGTAAAATCTCTGAGGTTGATGAATGCTTTGAATCCATTGTCTGTAATGTATCCATTTGTATCCAGATGGAACTGGTTTTACTTACTGAATACACACACTTTGCACTCTATAAGGCTCTGATGACTAAGGCTCCTAGCCAACATGGCGTTTCTGGGGCTTTGAGAGTATAGTGTGGCTTGGTTGTACACAGTGTGGAACCTCACTCAGGGACTGCCCCCTTTTATCCCATTTGTGTCCTAGGTAACAGTGTATGCATGGACTACGCTGCATACCTCATGAAATCAGTAAATTCACACCTTATAAATGCCCTATAAATGCCAAGTGCCGATATACATTAAAATGCACCCCAGTTAGCAATGTGTTTACAGAGTAAATAAACAAATAGGAGGTTGTAAGTGGAGTGAACTTCTGTCGGTATAGACGCAGTCCTGGTCCCTGACAGACAGCACTGGGAACCAGCCTCTGTTTGGGGTCCGTGTCCGTCATGGACTCCCTTGGTGCCTTTCTGACGGACTCCCGACAGCCTCCTAACAGCGACTTACCATAGATGAGCAATCGCCTGAGTTAATGAGGTTTTTTTCTACTCTCTCTTCCTGGCTTACAGCTTACTGAGGGAGCATTCAATCGACGGCACGGGTTGGGCCCCGACCCGAACTCTGAAGGTGAGTCCTCTGTCCTGGTATCAGAATAACGCCCCAGTGGTGTCGGAATCTGTTTGGTTAAGGAGCGGTTAGCTGCCTGTGCTGTGACTGTCTCAGCCATGTGGCGCAAGGACCAGAAGTGTATTGCGTGAAGTGTCTGGCGGTGCTACAGTCATATGCCGTCTGCGTAATAGTGCTAATTCCTGCTGCTTCCTGCCTGTTGGGTTGCCGGGGTATTAGCATAGCTTGGTTCGGAAAGTCTGTGGGTGTAGTATGTCCTCCCAGCCTGCTGGTGGCGCACGGAGGATGACATGGCAGGTAATGTAGAGGCATGCACCAGGTGGCTGTGGACTGCTGATTAGATATTTACTTTTGGGCGGCAGAATCAGCGGTTTGTAAATGCTCTGCCTCCATCGACACCGTGAGCACTCTGTAAATAAGCAGTCCCCCATGTGAAATCAGCCTCCATTTAGAACTTTCTGGTAGTGAGTCCAATATAAAATTCCAGCACCTCTTAATCATGCTGCGTCTTGTCTGATAGGCTCCTTTACTTGTGGACGCCTAAGGCTCCTTGGCCGATGTCGTGAACCTTCCCCCGAACGTGTCTCCCACACCTCCTTGTGGCACCATTACTTGCTGCTTTTAGTCGGAATCGCATTAAACGGTCTGGCACAGGGCGCCTCGACCTCCACCAGGTGGCAGTACTTAGGACCCCCCTGCAGTCTGAGCCAGCTTAGCCACTGCATACCGGCTTACATGGGGCCATTCTGCCGCCCCCCCCCCCCCCCGTGTCAGGTTGGCTTTTTAATGCACCCTCTAAAAATGACTNAAAAAAACAAACAAAAAAAACATCTATTACATTCCCGCTGTCACATTCAGAAATCGACAGTCTCTCTTGAACAACGTCTGTGCTTTGTTTTGAGGTGAGCCTGAATTCTTACTGTTTGTAATGGAAAATGACTTTGGCATTGCTGAAGCGTACTGACAAAGGTCTCGAGCTGCGGTTATTTTTAACACTACCCTTTGCTGGCTTTCATCCGAGCAACCTTTAAAAGCAAGAAGTTGGCTGAGATTCGAGCTGTATCGCCGAATCCCCTTCTCTAAGAATATACTGTAAGTTATAGACCTTGTTTGAAGCGGGCATTCCCATCTGCTTTTAGCTGCAACACACAAAACCTATTAAAGTTTGAGTTGGGATATAAGAGGTTTTGCATTTTTTTAAATGAGGAAATAAAATTGTGAATAAAGTTGCCCCTTCGTGCAGAGTGGATATCGTGGAGGGATTGTCTGAAACTGGGTGGAAACCTAACAATGTGGTTTTCTACATTCCAGTGTACCATATAGTTTTTAATTTTTTTAGTGAGACGTTCAGATTTTTTCTTCCACATTCACACACTTTATTGGTTCAAGGGATGTGAGATTTTATGTAATTTGCATTTTAATCAAACCCCTATTCTATTTTCATTTCGTTTCATGAGAGTAAACTCATCACAACTTCCCTTTCCACAGATGAAGGCTACTACCAGAGCGGAAAGTTCCGGTTCGAAATAGATGTCCCTGAAGCCTACAATATGGTGGTAAGTGGCCCTTTTTGTGTTGCGGCAAACTGCAAGGGAGGGTTTTGTTGCACTATGTCGAATTGCCAGGTGTCCGATTTTGTGATGTTGGACCCTGTGGTTAGAGACAGACTGGATTAGTGTTTTAGAGGAGCTAGGCTGTTTGCTGGAACCTAATGGTCTGGAAGCATGAGGAAGCCTTAGGTGGTTGAGATCCCAAGACGGTATGTCTGCCTGGCACCTGCGGGCCGCAGGGTTTTCCCAGCGTTCAGCATAGTCAGCAGTGGACCTCCTTCTGCATTAAGCCTGAGATTTTGTTTATGCCCATGTTGGGTAGAAGGTATGAATGGATGCTCATTGGGTGGTAATAGAAACACACACAAGGGGCATTTTAGACTAGCTTTTTCCAATCCAGTACTTGGGGACTACAAGAGAGTCCATGTTTCTTGCTCTCGGTACGGAGCTGGGAGGGCGAACGAACGTGGATTCTGTGGCAGGGAGGTGCGATGGCAAACACATGGATTCCTCGAGGACCGGGTTGGTAACCGCCATAGCCCAGTTGGTAACCGCCATAGCCCAGTTGGTAACCGCCATAGCCCAGTTGGTAACCGCCATAGCCCATAGTGCTGTGTGTTTGTTGGACACTGATATGGGACCTCGTTAACTACTTTGGTAAACATCCAACAATATTCACAGACTCCCTCACAGATGATTTATATGAATAGAACGACAGACGACAGCCTGGATTTATCTACAGCTAAGTAGACAAATTCATATCGTGACAAGGATACCTGTAATTAACAGGAGCAGCTATGCAGTGTTTATGTACTTCAGCACAGTTACCCTGCTGCTTCTTAACGACTCTGTGGTGCATGTTTTTCACGTTGCCAAGCCAGCCCACAGCGGGGAACAGGTTAAATCGGAGTGCGAGAGGCTGTTTCTCAACCCTAATGTGGAGAAACAGTATTTCATTGCTGCATTTACAGCAATTGAACAGCATGCCTTTTACAAGGGATATTTATGAGTCAGGACTGTGTAGTTTCCTCTGATCTATCTAATCAGGAACTGAACAGCTGGCGGTCTTGGGCTGAGTTATGGTATTCTCCGCTTTATGCTTTTTTTTGCCCGTTGCATATCCCTTAGCCTTTCGTTTTCATCTGTGCTGATTGAAGGCATCGATTCGTTTGTCACCCGCTGGAGTTGCTTTTAGATCCCGCAGATTCGGTTTGCAGCTGTGTTATTGCAAATCTGATGTCATTTATTAACAAGAAATTCAAATCATCAACCTATGTTAAAAATGAACATTTAATAGAAAGAAGGCATTGACAAGCCATGAAATGTGCTTCCCTATGTCTATGAATATCATTTTATGAATATCAATCAGCTGCATATGCTACACTTTTCAGTCTTCTAGGGTAAGCTTGGTTTAAATTGTAACTGTTGCTAAGTGGTTATACTGCACTACGACTAGTGGCTCTTGTAGGTTGGTGCTGAGGTTTCGTGTATCTCTGTCAGACTGAGAATCCTCAGGAACTCATGGCTTTGTGAAATGTTTAATTTCATATTCCAGGGAGACATTGTTCTGTGAGTTTCTGGTCACCCATCCCCAAGCGGATGGCATTGGAGAGACCTTGGCCTCTTATGTTTGACACAGCTCAGGACCCTGGGGCGTGCAGGTGCAGTACCTCCCTGATCCAGCGTCTGAGCCAGACCTGCTGCAGGATACTGTCATAGTCCGAGAGATAATCACTGTTGCAGGTGTCAGTCTAAGCCTTTTTGTTCCCCCTGCCCAGGGACATTCACTTGTGCCTGCAGAGTGTGGGGTCTTTCCAAAGTTTCTTATTCAGTTAGTTTTAGTTCCAAATGAGGTCTTTCTGTGCTGGTACATGAAGCACATGGTCATTATGATGTTGGGCTGCTAACCAGGGGACTGCGTGTGTCAGTCAGGAAGCTGAGACCTTATTTGTGAATTTGTTATGGTCAGAAGGGTCAAAGAACCGGAGGTGACAGCTGACTAAGTATATAAAATACCAATCAGTCTCTCTGGTCCGTTCCATTACTTGGTCTGCATAACAGTTAATAGTTGGGCATGAGTGCAGGTAATCTCCAGGTTCTTCTGGACAGCTCGTACGAACAGACTGCCATAAATCCTGTTATATTAAATTCGGGTTAAATACAGTTATTCTTAATAACGAACGCACACGCTACTTTACGACACCTGTGAAAACATTGTGCGGCTTCATCGGCTCGAGGTACCATACTGTTTATAGTTACTTTTATTATTACTGTATTATTACTATTATTATTATGTACTGTATTATTACTTTACCACCTCGCCTACAAATTAAAGACAGACTTTGGGAATGGATCTTGTTTGTAACCTGGGTCCTGCCTGTCATGTGAAAAAGAGAGTTTAGGCCCTGTGTTGCCACTGAGGGAGAGTTAGTGTGGGAGGTGCCTGTCTCTGGGTCGGCTCTGGTCTGACTCGTACCCCCCCCGGCCAGATGGTGCTCCGTTAATGACATTGTAGACTATGGTTGAATGTTTCACATTCTTTCATTAACAGTTTAAAATATCGCTTCTAGCCAGCTGGCTGCCTTAAACACTGTTACTCTCCAAAATAACATCTCCCAGAGGAAAGACGCGAGGTGGTTGAAGGTCATCTGAAAGCAGGAGAGCCCTGTATAGTTTGGTTCTCATGAAGTGTGTTGTTGGGCGCTCTCTTCAGTGCTTGCACTCGCAGAGAGTGATTCTGAATGAAGGGGGAGGGATGAAATCAGGTACCAACCTGTCCTACTTTATCGATATTGTCTTGGTTGGAAAATATGTTAGTGTGGAGGACTTTCAGCGTGATTTCCATTTCCTGCTTTCCGCAGCCACACTATCTATGTGCAAGAAACACTTACTACAAGCCAAAGTAAGAGGTCTGCTGGCCTGGTGGTGGTTTGCTTTTCTGATGGACTCTGGACGATTTCATTGTTTTGGTGCTCATGGTCTGGGGATCCACCACACCATCACGAGGTCATTTCCCGCCATTCCGGGTTCTTCTCCTGATTGACGACGTCTCTTTTGTTTTGTTTTGCAGCCCCCCAAAGTTAAATGCCTCACCAGGATATGGCACCCCAACATCACAGAGACCGGCGAAATCTGCCTGAGGTAAATGTCGGGGGGGTGTCTGAGGGTTCGATTTGGTGTCTGCAGTTCTGTTGCCTTGGTTGTGCCAACTCTGTGTGACGATCTGCTGGTAGGCTTGGTGTAGGTGCAGGAGTCTACTTCTGAATCTTGGGATGGTACTACAACTACTTATTTTTAGTGCCTGATTTTACCTTATGTCTGATATGATTAGAGCTGCTAGTATCATACAGTTAATCGTCTTTCGTGGCGCTTTTCACACAAGCTTGTAAAGGGTTTACAGCAGCCTTTCCTGAGGGTACTGAAAAAAAGTGTAAAAGAGGGTATGTAGGT